CTCGTGAAGTCTTATATAGTTCAATCAAAACTACCTTTATTTATATTTCCTCCTTCCTTGACTCATCTCCATTTTTCCTTAACTCTGGATGCCCTAAGGTTGTATTTCCCAATATCCAATAGAACATTTCAAAACCAGGTTTGCCTCAGGCATTGTTTTCACAAGCTAAGACAAAATGTAATAACCCTATGAGAACATCAGAGCTATTATTATACCTTCATTTTACAAACAAAGAAACTGAGGCCCAGGGGCCTCCCTGGCGGGGCAGCAGGTTGAGCGCAGCACTGTGAAGCTGTCTACAGCCTCTGCAGAGCGGGTTCGATTCCCAGCCGGCCAGGGAGAGTCCTACATGGCATGGCAGACCTCCCCTGTCTCGCCCGCTGCTCTCCTCAGCAGTGTGTTTCAGACAGTTTGCCTGTTCTGTTCCCCACTCTGTCTCTGGTGAATCCTCTCACCCTCCTGTGCCTCTGGCCTGTGCCCCAACTCTTGTATAAAAATAAATAAATCTTTTAAAAAAAGAAAAGAAAAGAAACTGAGGCCCAGAAAGGTTAGATAATTTGTCTGAGTTTTATAGCCTAAAATGGAGCAAATGGAGGAGACAGGATTTGAATTCTGACTCCAAAGCCCATGCTCTTAGCAACTCTGCTATTAATTCTGCCTGAGGGAGCTTGGTCTGGCTGCCTGTCAATTTCTTTTTTCTAAACTTTGATTCTGAAGACAAGATCTTGCCCTCATTATGAGTTCTGGCTTGTCCAGAGTCCCTGTGTCAGCAGAGCTTGGTTGTAGAATTTTCTCATCATATTTGTTCTGTGAAAAAAGATCGGAGCCAGTTTTGGTGAAGAGCAATTGTAAGATGAAACATATCAGAAACAGGAACCCCTACGATTCTCGACAGCTGGGTAGACAGATACATTCAGTGAAGAGATTGGAACAAGATTGCTCTTTAGGATGTGATGTGAACTAGGGACTGTCAAACTTTGCCCTGTTTGTCACTAAACAGAATAGAAAGTGTGACCCCCTCTTACTCTCTACCCACCGTTAACATGAAAGGCATGTCTTTGATTGCTAAAGGGTGGCCAATTCTATCACCTAATTGCATAGAAGAGGGTAGGAGCAAACTTTCCCATTCCTGTGCACTTAAAGAAAATACATTCAGTTATTCAGTGATAAGTTCTAAAGTCAGCTGTGAATCATCCTGAGGTCAAGCTGATTTTGAAACATTCTATTGAATATTGGGAATACAACTAATTTTTGAAGTCTCAAATCATATGTTTATGAGAAAGAAGGTGGAAAGACAAACAACAGTGATTCTGTGTATCCTGTGATAGATCTTAAGAATCTGAAGCTAAGTAAGACAGGACCCTTCAGAGGGTGACCAGCTGTCTTGTTTTACCTGGAACTGAGGAGGTTGTCAGGATGGACTTTCAGTCTTAAAACTGGGAAAGATATAATTAAAAATAAATAAATTATTAAAAAAAAAACAAATTGGGGGCCTCCCCGGTGGTGCAGCAGGTTGAGCACAGCGCTGTGAGGCTGTCTGCAGCCTCTGCAGCACGGGTTCGATTCCAGGCCAACCAGGGATATTCCCACATGGCGTGGCAGACCTCTCCTGTCACGCCCGCTGCTCCCCTCAGCAGTGTATTTCGGTCTGCTTGCCTGTTCTGTTCCCCAATATGTGTCTGGTGAATCCTCTCACCCTCCTGCACCTCTGGCCTGTACCCCAGCTTGTGTATAAAAATAAATAAATCTTTAAAAAAAAACATTAAAAAAAAAATCCAAACTGGGAAAGTTAGGCAAGTTGAAGTGATTTAGTATACTTACCTGTACCCCAATGTGCTCATAGCAAGACTATGGCTATGCAAGTATATAGTTGTGAAGTAGCAAATATATTATTGTGAAATTATGGAACAATAGTAATGGCTTTTGCTTCTATAGAACTCTCTGTGAGCCAGACACTGCTTAGAATAATGTTCATCAAATCAAATCTCATAAGTAAATATAAACAGTTTCATTATCCCCATTTTAGGTAGTAAGAAATTGAGGTACCTCCAAGGGTGCCAATGTGGTATCTGGGTAATTGGATCTAGATTTTAGATCTTAACTGCATTTTTAGAGAATTACTCTGGTAGCATCTAGAGGGTGGTTTGAAAGCAAGAGAAGGTTGTGCTGGGACCAGTCACAGAGAACAACCAAGTATAAAGCACCTGATAAAATTCCCTAACTGTTGGTGACTTCAACTATAGCATTTCACTTGGGGGATGGGAGTAGGCTGGACATATTAAAAAGATGAAGGAGGTCCTCCCTGGTGGCACAAGCGGTTAAGTCTCAGCACTATGAAGCTAGCTATCAGCAGCTACTGCAGCATGAGTTCGAGCCCTTGCCAGGGAGCTAATCCACATGGCCCAGCAGACCTCTCCTGTCTCACCTGCTGCTTCCCTCAGCAGTGTATTTCAGTAGATCTGCCTGTTCTGCTCCCCAGAACAGTGTCTGGTGAATCCTCTCACCTCCTGCACCTCTGGCCTACATGCCAGCTCTTGTATGCATAAACAAATAAAATAAATCTTTAAAAACAAAAAGATGAAGGAAGTACAATGGACCAGTCTTGGCTAGTGATTGGATGGAGGAGTTAAAGAATTCAGGAAACACTGAGGATTATTTCTGTAAGGCTTGCTTTGTTGACTGGTTACATAATGGCTCGAAAGGAATACGGGAGGAAGAATGGATTTAAATGGCAAAAAAGACTGAGTTCAGCTTTCCGCCATGGGAGTCTCAAGGGGCTATAGGAAATTTGGATGGTATTGTCTAATGTGAGTATTCCATAACAAGAAGGAAATAGCTTGTGCTAAAGGATACTTAGCTTTCTGATCAGAAAGCTGATCAGAAAGTTCTTGGAAACAGGTTTGAAATAACGAGAAAGCAAAATCAGTATAACATTAACACAACACCTTTTGGATTTCCCATGCAGTCGAAAATATTTAATACATTCACTTATGGTAAGGTATGAATGAATTTATTATTCTTCCTGAGAATATGTGTATTTTACAAAAGACAGCAATACTTAACTGGATTCCTGATGAAAGAATTTCAGATACCATAATCTTAGAGCATATTTTCTTTTTTTCCTTTTTTTTTTCAAATAAACTGTCTAAAATCATGGTACATTTGCTATGGTTCATTCTATGTGATTAGGTATACGAGTAATTAAAATAACTGAAAGTTGCTCTAAGTTCTATACATGGATTCTACTCACCCTTGAAATAATTCTCCCAAACACTTATGTTTCAAAATATTAAAGATCTTCAGTACCTTGATATTGCAAGTATAGAAAATCAGTTATTACTCATCAATATTGAAAAAAATTAACATGATTTATTTGAATTTGAAGTTTTTAAAAAAATTTTCTTTTCACCTCTATTTTCCACTTCTAATCTCCTAAGTATGATGATGCCTCCTCAAACTTTGTATCCCTTAGATTGGGGGAGCATGCATTTCCTCACCCCCATATAAACTCTCATCTGTGAGTTTTTGATGCATGGTCTCTGGATTAAAGTTCATGAACAATAATCTTGATTACCTATTGACTCTTTAACAAGAAAGGTAAAAGTGGTATCCCATGATACATTAATTGAACCTACATTGTCTTCTTTGAAACAGTCATTAATAGAAGGAATGGAGATCCAGGGAGATTCAAGGAATTTTCCAAAGACACACACAGTGCCCTACTATCCTGATATTTCACCAGTTCTCTAACCACTAGGCAATTCTGTCTCCTTCTTGTTGGAATGCCATCACTTATGAAATAGCCAAGTCACATGGGAGAATGACCTGCTCTTATGATTGAGTGACCTGGGGATCCTTTCTACTAGGCAAAACTTCACCCATCTCTCAGATTTCCTAACTTTGGTTTTTATTTAGAAAAGCATGCTGCTCACTGTTCCAACATCATCCATCTTTGTCAGCACCCAAGGCCACAACTTCATTTGAACTGCCAGTGATATACTGCAGATAGAGTGCACCCAAGACATTAAACTCTGTATGACATTTATATGGACTTTGAGCCCACCAGAGATGAATTGAAGCTGCCATAAAGCAGCCAGGTAAACAAGAGACTGAGGCGGCATGCTGGTGCTGGTGCTGCTAGTGGTGGTAAAAGCAATTTTACCATTCACTTCTCCCCTCTGCAGAGGCTGTGGTACATCTCACTTAGGAAATAAATTAAGTATGAAGATTTTGGGGGCCCAATATAGAAGAAACCTCAGCCTTAATTATCAGTGATACTTACAGTGGCCTGGGTAACAGGATACTTAGAGTCTCCCACTTTGAACCCAGTGCACCCCATCAGCCATATATCTTCATGGAATAAAAAAAGGGCTTAAGCAGCATAGATGCAAAAGTGTCAGTGGGTCAAACAAGATGTCCACGCATGCCCATTGTGTCCCCTGGGCAGTTATTTTCAACATCACGGTAATGATGTTATTTATGGGCATGATCCCCCATAAAGACATAATGCTGACATTCCATTCTACATGCCCAGCCTGCAAGCTGGATTAAGGAAAGCAATATACTTGAGTTTGTGTTCCAGGTTATCAGCATGAAGGCACCCATCTCTACCTGGTCCAACAGGTATTTTGTAGGCACTTGGGAAAATGATTAGAAAATGATTTTATACAGCAAAAGAATATATTCTTTTTCATAGCTAATACTAATCAGTTATGCAAGCATTGATGTCCTTAAGCTTGCTGCAAGCAAAATGCCCAGCTATCAGAAATAGGGCTTCCCCACCCCCGTCCTTGCCTCGCCACATGAACATGTCTGTAATGTTGCAGACCACTGTGTATCTACTCATGTGCATTCTTCATGGACTGCTGCGGCTAACTTTGGAGGATGCAGAATTCTTCTGTCTTTTAAACCACAACAACATATACACATTTAAAAAATAACCAGTGTCCAAGTAAGAAAGCCCACCTTCACGAGAAAGACAAACAATTAATTTGACTTACCAGTTTAGGTTGTTCGAGGCAGCAGGGGAACAAGTTGTTGGTAATTGTCCAGAGCTTTCATTCAATAAATCACATTGGCTTTGCTTTCTCCTGTGGCTCAGCCTCTGCGCAAAGCAAGCGAACCTCCTTGCTATTCTGTGTAAAGAATAAAATGCGAACAGGATTACTACAGGCAAGAGCCGAAGTCCATGATCACTAAGCTACTCTTAATGCAAAATAAAAGAGCAAATGATGCACAAGGAGAGAAGGGGAGAGGGAAACAGCTTGGCTCAAAATCTAGGTGCATTCTCGGGACTGCAGCCCCGGGAAGGTTTGATTTGTCAAGCCCTTGTGCGTGTAGTAAAAGGATACCATGACTTCAGTGTGTCTTTAGCCTATTGTATCTGTCAAGTCCATTAGGAACGGCATGCAGGAACAATAAGCCTCACGGTTCTGAATCAGACCTGACTGTCACTCAAAGATGAGGAAAGGGACAGCACGGCAGCCAGTTAGCTTTGCGCTACATCAACCGTGAGCAAAGAAATACCGTCTGGCATCCAAAAGCCCATCCAGCAATCTGTGGCCACAAATGATGTACAGCTCTCCTGCGGCCACGCACTCCCTTACTCCCACACAGCCTGGGACCAGATGCATACCTGTGGCAGTCACATCCCCTCACCTGAGGGTACCTTTGCAATCTTTACAGGTTCCCTGCAGGAGCAAGGGCATCCTCAGAGAGCTGCCAGTCCAGTTAGGGCTGCTCAAGCAATGCTTGAGTTTCTGTCTGCGTGGATGCTGATAAAGTAGTCAGCAGAGCTGGGAGTTAGGACACCAAGAGCTAAGTGTTAGGAGGAAGATTCCAGTGCCGCTTCTATGCTGGTCACACACGGGTGCACCTGGCTCCTTTCACAGCATTATGCTTTACATGACTAATGCAACACGCAAAATGGATTTCCTAGAAAGCCGCTTAGATAGGCATTTTTTAAGTTTCTCTCTGAAATAAAATGGCAAATGACCTTTCATAAATAAAGTCGCTTATTATATTAGGGAGACAGTGCTGATTGAGACACATATGAATAACACACACACACACACACACACACACGTCCCTAGCAACAGCATTAAGAGCTTCTAAAGCTCTATTCAGATTCTCTCTTTGCCAAATGAAAGCTTAGCTTCTGTGATGACTTCAGAAATAATTTTGGACCTTTCTACTAGGCATTGATCTGATCTGTTATTTATATCTAAAGTCAAATTAACACCCAACTTTTGAATGTGATTCTGTGGCAAAGCTGGAGAAAGCCTCTAGGTTATAAATAAGAGGGTGGAGTGTTTTTCTTTGGCTGTAATTAATTAGAATCTGGAAGAAGTCATCTCATATTCCTGAAAATCTCCCCCTTTCCAGAGACATCATCTCACCCTAGAAGCTCAGTCATCCCCACCAACAGGTGATGTTCTGGTGCTGGGATCTGAGGTGAGGCTCAGTGACTCATAAAACTTGGGTGTCAGTTTAGTTTTTCACAACTGTCTTTGTCTTTTCTTGTTAAGAAACCAATTTCTCCCTGGATCCTTTACTCTTTCTTTGTTTCCTTGGTCTTGTTTGTCCATGAAGTGTTGTTACAAATAGTCTAATTTGGGATATTCACACACTTGAAGTTCAGAAAGCTATTTTTTTTCATCATGGATTAAAAAGATCAGGGTACCCCACCAGGTAAAACTTTAACCTCATCTCTAGAAGAAGAACATTGCCTTTAATGCCAGTTCACTTAAATTTCACCTGTTGGAGTAGCCAAGTGACTCTGAATAATTCCACAACAGGAATTCCATAAAAGGAATTATTCAGTTCCTCACAGAGGTCATGCATTCAATCTGCTGTGCAAACTTAAGGGGATGATGCCTCCTATAATTGAGGCATTTCTTTCGGGAGCAAATTCTCAGGTCTGAGTCTCACTGTGAGCGCATGTCCATTGCAAAGGCAAGCCATTCATTCGTCCATTCTTCAACAGACACTTATTAAGTGTATAAACTCTTTGGCATACTTTAGCAAAATTCTCCATGATGTGGTTCTGCCTACTCATAAGCCTAATGTTTTGCCACCTTCCTCCTTGGCCTCCATGCTGTAGCCTTTTTGAATGTCTCTCAACTTGTTAGACATGTCATGCTCTCTCTTAACGCCAGCATTCTGCATGTAATATTCTTCTGCCTGAATCCCCAATCCCAAGTGTCTGCTTATTCATGTACAGCCTTAAAGTCTTGGCTTAACCATCACCTGCCAGGAATATTTTTCTAACCCCTGGGCTGTTAGATTCTCTGCTCTGTGGTCCTATAACACCTTATACTCTCCCATCACCCTATCTATCACATTTTGTTGCATTTACTTGTTTAACATCTGTCATCCCTGTTACACCATAAGCATTTAAGAGCAAAGTCTCTTTTTCACTGTTCTATTTCCAGTGTCTAACACAGTTCTTGACACTTAGAAAGCATTCAGTAAATATTTAGTGAACGTTTTGTTGAAGTGCTTAGCATTAACTTGTTGAATGAATAAATAAACCATCTCAAAGGATAACGGGGGTCTGAGAACTGAAAAGACCCTAAAGTTCACTTAGTGCATCTAATTTTTCTTGCCAGTGGCCATCCGTGCAAGGCTTGCCCCCTCTGATTATCCCTTCTTGATTAATCTCAACCCATACTGATCACATCTCGCTCCTCCTCCCCAGCACTTTTACAGCACGTTCTTGCTTTTTGTTCTCCAGCTGTTTCCTCGAGTGTGTCTCATCTCGATAAACTGGTATTCTCCATAATGCCTAGCATAAGCCTGCAATTATCAGATGCTTGATTTATTCAACAGCAAACATGTGAACGGGGAGTTAAATGATCTGTCTTGTTTTAGAAAGATTACTCTGGTATTAGGGGACGGATGGACTGGATCGGCCAGACCTAGTCAGGATTCCAATAATGACCACAGCACAGAGATGGGATTTAAAAGCAGTTTTGCCCTGTCTTTCCCTCCTCTCCCCCGCATTACTTCACCCGCCATATCATAATACCCTTGTTCTCATTCAGAATACTGAGGATGTTTGTTCCATACTCAGGACATCCCCTCCATCCTGTTCTACCCCCATAGTTAGTACATTTGCTTCAGTTGCTGGTGAAGATGTCTGCCTGATTTAAGCTCCTTTGAAGCAGAGATTGCATTTTAGTTATTTTGTATCTTCCTCCTCCAGTGCTCATTACATCGCTAGCCCAGTGCCTTGAAGATTATAACTGCTCAATAAATATTAAGAAAAAAAGAGCATTTATATGAAACTCATTGGAGAAAGCACTATGCGTAGCGAGGAGGGGTACAAAGATGAATGAGTAAGACAGAGTTAGACTATTGGGGGACGATGAGTAGCTAATTGAGTAGTAGTAAATAGTTATGGATGGATCTAAGGGAGTTTAGGCCCCCAAAGTAGGAAGGAGCTAGACTAGAGAAAGCTCCAATACTATATTAAAGAGTTTGGACTTTATGCTTTAGGGTCTCAGCGGGTACATGCCGGTATAGTAAGATCTTTGGTCTAGCCATTGGGGGAGCTGTAAACTAAGATGGTGAGACCTGCAAGCAGGAAGATGGTGGTGGTGAGGGCCTATGAAATGTCAATTAGGAGATGAATGTGAGATCTACTTGGGCTAAAACATATAGGACATAGAGGACGTGTCAGCGGTACAGGAGAGAGTCAGGGAGAAAGAGAGGGAAAGAAGTTGAAGATGACTTAAGTTTCAGCCTGCGTGATGGCAGACATGTGTACAGACATAGAGACAGTTTGGGCGTGCATGTCACTGAGTACCTTTTGAAGATAGAGAAAAGAGCAGGAGACAGTCCTTGGGCCACGGGAATGTGCCTGGACTGCTTTGAAGCAGCCATCGGTAGCAGCTAAAGCAGCAGTTCAGGCTGTGACAGATGAACTACCTCTGGCAACATGCAGGGTCATTTGTAGGGGAAAGGGTGTAGAGTTTCCCTACAAAGAGGACTTCCTGATTAAATGCGAGTTTGCAGTTTCCCATTGGAGTTGTTTAGCTCAGTGGAAAGAATCCAGGTTTGGGATGGGCACTTTGAGCTTAAATCCTCTCCATGTTCCTCACCAACTGCATGACCTTGGGCAACTTTCTTTCTATCGCTGCGTCTCAGCTTTCCCACTTGTAAAATGAGGGATTTGGACCAGTTAAATCCAAAGTTTCCTTTTAGATACTGCTCTCTGATTTGTGAAGTGCAACATACAGCATATTTGTGAAATGAGGGCCAAAGTCCACCAACATCAGCAGGTAGCAATGTCCACTCTCTCCTGAAAATCGTGCCCGTGCTTTGAGAATGTCCATATATCATTGCAAATACATGTCTGCCTGCGGTTAGTTCCATGTGGTTTGTTTGTAAGACATAAATTTAAATTGATCACTTTTTGATGACCATTTTCTAACAATTTTTCACTTTTTTTAAGCAAAGATTTTTTTTTTTGAGGGTGCCTTTTCATCAGCGTCTCAAAATTAAATTATGGGAAGAAAGAGGCAGTCCCTCACTGTGGTCAGCAGAGTCTGGCCAGCCTGCTTCCGCTCCCTAATCTCCTGACCTTCCTTAGGGCGCGGCTGCTCAATAACGCCTCCGATTCTTTTTCCAAAAATAAAATGTGCTACTTATCGAAAGCTGCTAAAAAGGAGACAAAAAAAATAGGAAAAGAAAACTAACACCCCAGGGTGTATCTGAACATGCTTATTATGAGCGAAGTTGTTAGTAATGAATGTGGAAACTCTTCCTCCTCCTCCCTCTCAATTTCTAAGCCCCAAAGAAAAAAGAAAAAGGGGTGGGGGGGGGCCATTGGCTATTCAATCCAAAGCAGACCTTTTCAAAAGGTGCAGACTGTTTATAGGCATGGTATTTCTTGATTATTTTGTTTTAAGCACCAGTTGACCTTTCAGACTAAAAGTAAAAGTCCCCAAATATCCTGAGAAACTCGCTTTTGGATTTTTTTCCCTCCAAGTTTTGGAGACTCGACTCATGACATTCAAAAAGATTCTTCAAAAAAAAGATGGTCCGGATGACTTCTAGTGTGATTTGATGACAGAGTGTTTATCTGAACTAATCATGTGAGATTTTCCAGTGTCGCATTTTTGAGAAATGG